GAATTAGTAGTCACCATTCACAGAACCCGAAAGAGAGATAGAAATACTTCAACAAAAGTCCACATTTTCCCACTGTTCTGAGCCCTGGGTCTAAAAATACACCGCAAAAGAAAGAAAAAAAACACCAGGCTGCAGGCTGGGGAAGTATCTCTGACAGAGATGGGGAAGGGAGGGAGGTAGTGTGTGGGTGTCTGAGTGTTACATCGGCTCACTCACAATAGTTTATATGAATCAAGCAGCGCACAGCTGAACAATGCATTAGATAATTTATTATACTTAAATCTAGATGATTTAAATGCCATGACAGCTGCAACTTCATCGGCCTCTCAGTGGGCTACGGATATCACAGATATGCCCACACATTGGCACGATGAGCTGGCTTCTCTTGACTTTAAAGGCAACCCCATACCCTACTCTTTACCTCTGTCTCTCTCATCAGTTTCATAGACAGCTTCAGTCCTTCCTCTTCCTCTCTTCTCTTCCTCTGGCTTCGGCAGGAGTGGGAGGTGTTGCTAGGCGACAGGTTAGCTCCTTTCTTTCAAGAGTGAAGACCTTGATTCTCTCTGTGTAAAAATAAACAGCAGTGCGGAGAGAAAGAATCTTGAGATAGAGGACAAGCATACTTCAGCTGCACAAGAAGCCAATGACATTTTGTTTCACATTAAAGTATTTTTTGCAACTCTTCTTTCAGTGCACTTGCAAAACTCTTTGATGGAAGAGCAGAATTAAACTTGCACAGATGACTTTAGAATTAGCTCACCTGGTTCCAAACATAATATGTATTTTAATGCATGGCATAATGGGTAATATAACTTGCATTAAAGCAAATTATTTTTACCCTAATTTTCTCATCTTGAAATTGCCTTCACACAAGTCTTGAAATTAGTCTCATATTGGGTTGAAAAGACTAGAAATTCACATTCTTACAAAAAATTGTGAAACTTCTCCATTTCCTGCATGGTTATTTTAGTCCACTGTGTGTAAAATCAGAGGAGGCTTCAAGTGGGCAGAGTCAACTCAGTCGTGCTCTCTGGGCACAGGCTAAATTACATCTTCCTGTTCCTAGGGACATACTGCTATAACAGAGGGATGTCATACTGGGCATTATCCATTTACTCACATCCGACAGGCACTCAACTATTATCTTTTGCCCTTAGATGATCAGAAAATCCTGATTGTAACATAACGACCTCTACAAAAACTTTTGAAAACATTTTGGAAAGACCAAATATAGCAACTTGCCTTTACCTTATGTATGTAATTTAGAATTATAAAGGAAATGCAATTAAAGACACAGTTCACCAAAATAAAAAAATTAAAAAATACTCACTCTCAAGCCATCCAATATGTAGATGACTTTGTTTCTTCATCGCAACAGATTTGGAAACATTTAGCATTACATCACTTGCTCACCAATGGATCCTCTGCAGTGAATGGGTGCCGTCAGAATGAGAGTTCAAACAACTGATAAAAACATCACAATAAGTAACCCACACATCTCCATGCATGTTTGTAAGAAACAGATCCATCATTAAGACGTTTATAAATTCAAACTTTTGCTTCCTGCTAAAATATGAGCCTTCTATCTATAAAGTTGCTTCTTCAGTAGTCTCATCTGAATCAGGAGAGAAATATGCACAGTTCAAGCACTGTTTACAAGCAAAAACAGTCCAAAATTGTTTTAAACTAATATGTTGGCGGAGTTTGATGTGAGACGACAACTGATGGAATTTTCCACTGGATGAGTTATTATAGACTTGTATTTTAGCCAGAAGCCACAGTTTCATGTTAAAATGTCTTGATGGATTTGTTTGTGGATTACTTGAGGATTATTATGATGTTTTTATAAGCTGTTCGCACTCTCATTCCGATGGCATCCATTCACTGCAGAGGAGCAATTTCAATTAAACTTTGACATGTGCATTTGCATCCACTTTATGCACCAAGGATGACCACTCATCAACTTATCAGAATTTGCACTCAATGGTGCTCATTGATTACCACCAATTTACCAGAAATGGGTGCCGAAGGAAACATCTTCAACAACAATGGTGTTCCACTGTCTCTGCTTTGAAGATATTAAACAGCAGAGGCTATTCATACAAACTATACCTAGTACATACATACATACATACCTTGTATGTATAGTTTCTGCCTTGCACGCTTCAGTGTTTCTGAATCAGTCTGTGGGCCTGCTGAACAGAAAAAACAACCAACTATTTTAAGAGGTGAAATTTGTTAACGGGTGACCACTGCCAGGGTTTAATCACGAATGGATGCACTGCAGACGGATGCACTGCAATTACAAAGGATCATTAGGGATCAGCTTGATCTATAACCAGCATCAGCTTATGCATGATTCTGCCACTGAATATGAGTGCATCCTAGTTAGCCTAAGCAACTACAAGATGCCTTTTCCATCACATCAAAAAGAACAAAATGTAAAACTTTAATTCAATGAATCCTGCATTGAATTCAGACATAATTAGTCAATAGTTAATAGTTTAGTGCCAACCAAACAGGCCATTAACTCTGATAATGAGACACAGAAGGCAAATTTAAGGCCCTGTGTATAGCAACACTCCCTGGATTCTTTTGTATTCAGTGTCTTCCTGATATTTCCGCTATAACCACATCTGCAAAAATTCTGTATTAACGTGATAAGAACTTGAAAACATCTCTAATGTAAAGTCTGCTGAAAAGAACATCTGAAACCGGTCTAAACCAGTAAGCTGGTCAAGCTTTTCTGTTAGCTAGTTTATAATGACATTTGTGCTGGAAGAACCGTTAGTCTATCCGAGACCAACAAAAGCCAGCAAACCAGCTTTGTTTTGTTTAATGGATAGCTTATCACGCATATATCATATAACCCACTGACTATTAATATTCAACCCCTAATTACTCCTGCTCAACTATCTATTGTTGACCACGAAACACAAAAGTTTGATTAAAAAGACTACATGTGTCGCCGAGGACGGTAAATCTGAGTGCGTTTGTCAGACACTAGCCATGGGCTATTTTTAGAAAAGCGAAACTGTCAATTCACGCGCAACGGGTTTCAGAGATGTGCGCGTGCCTCTCTGATGGACTGGTGAATGAATGAACGACGAACACATCTTGATTCCGTCTAAAATAGCATATTACTGACATTTAAATAGTATTCCTCTCAAGGTGTATAATTCTAATGAGCACTCCTGGTCATTTATCATGAATGAAAATGAAACGCATGATTTACTGCATCGTTGAATGACCGCGGCAAGCCACAAGGATAACACTGTGATAACTTTCCTAAAAGCACTGGAGTTTATGCATGTTGCTAAAAATAGCTCACCTTCACTGAACAGGCTATTTCGCTTCCTCTTCAGAAAACGAATCGACTCGAATGGCAGAACCGCAGCGAGGGCTCTGCACTAGACTTCTGTCTGTGACACTCGGCTTGTCGGACATTATGGACGGAACAAACTGTCCAGAGAGTGCAAAGAGGCATCAGTAGAGCTTGTGATATAAATGAGCAATTGTTTGACAGGAGTTTTATGTTATTTAGGTGAGACCAGGGAGTGGTTGTGGTTTATAATTTGATTTGTGATCACAATTGATATTAGATAACAGAGAAATTGGACCATGTAGACCACATTTGAGAGTCGTTAACCTATATGTTATGCATTTTTATTTGCTTCCAAAATTATTTTCTATTTTTAAAATTCATTTTTCATATATGGTTGCACGTTGAATTAAAATGTTTAAAACAAAATGGAGGCGATTAAAATACTTTTACCACAATGCACATTTTGTAATTTGTAATGTATTACGTAATGCAACTTAAACAAAATATATAACGTTTCCCCTGTACAGTTGGCATTTTTGATAGATAAGAATCATTAATGAACAAACTCAATTCAGTGAGTTAGGCATGATGGCTAACCCTACCTGATGTCCATTTAATTCTTAAACTTACTGTCTCATTCAGACTGCCCTCGTTCATAATGAAGCAACCAATTATGTGTCCCCTATTACTGCGACTACAGATTCTAAGTGAGCCATTGGCTCTTCCCCACAATGTCGCTTTACGCACACAATCTCATAAAACATAACTCAATACAGCTGTTGTCCTTGTCTATGCTCGCCCAATGTTTCCCTTATAAGGACAGAGATAAAGCATTTATGAAATAATAATTAGGCAGAGATTTCGGTGTTCTCGGTTACCCCGTCTGGTTCACTGGGGCACATGCACTGCTGCATTTAAAGTCATCATAAGTACTGCAGCGCATTGTCCCGCATGCTACTATAATCTTACATTTTGTGAATGGAAATCCCTTGAAGAATTCATTCTGTGGTCACACAGCTTGCCAGATGTGGAAACTGACGCAAATAACGCAGCGATGCATGAAACTACAGCAATAATGTCAGGGATTGCATCCGTGCTTCCATGCAAACATTTCTGCATCCATGCATGAACATGCAGTGCAAGACATTGGATTACAAGACAGAAATCATTTTCTGAATCATATCTGAACTCGGTCGGTTGGAGGCAATCAGCATGCCACACAAGGGGATTGGGGGAGAGTGCTCCTCTATCTCGTTCGTATGCAGCTCAGAACCAGAACCCCCCTTCTCTGTACACGTCTATACACCGAAGTGCGGTGACTCCGTCTACGTTTCACTCTCTGTCCCCGCCCATTGCTCGGTTTTGTCCAAATCGGGCTTTTTGCGTCGCCGGAGCTCCCGATTTCAAGCCAACGTCATCAACGGAGAGAGGGGATGCTGACGTCGGAGCAGAGTCAGAGCGCGCGGGTTGGGAGGGGTGAGACTAGTGAGTTTCAGCATTGCTTACACTTATATGAAACGTATAAATCCCCCCGCCCCCCCTTTTACTCCATCCCCCCTCCCCTTGCGCTCTTTTTTACGTCGGTGTTGGCGCGCTGGGAGCCCCCCTACACTGGTGAAGCCCCAGCCTATATAAATTACCGGCTTGCAATGTTACTCCACCAGATTAACGGACTCCGGATATCTGGGCGATAGACGGCTTCAGCAGCAGCCGACTGACTCAATCTCCGACCCGGAGGAAAGATCCATCCAGCCTCCGGTCCGCAACCTGAGCCAGGCGCTGTGGCGGAACCGCGGGGGGAAACCCGGGAGAGGCAGGTGAAAGGAGAAGAGCAGCCGTACTCTGGACATGTGCTGAGATGACACACCTGTGAACGCGCCTAAACTCTTTTGGGAAGAAGCCTCATACTTTTCTCAACTTGCACCGTAGTCAACACTTTCAGCAAAGCTCAGAAAGAGTCCTCAGCGTTAGTCACCACAATGTATCGGTCCACCAAAGGAGCGTCGAAAGCTCGAAGAGACCAGATAAACGCGGAGATTAGGAACCTGAAGGACTTGTTGCCCATCTCCGATGCGGACAAGTCTCGTCTCTCCTATCTTCATATCATGTCGCTGGCTTGCATGTACACGAGAAAGTCTGTCTTCTTCAGTGAAGGTAAATATAATTTCAGTTGTTTGGAAAAACAGTCGAATAAAAGTCTTTTAAGTAATCCTCAAAGCTTCATAGATCTGAGTTTGTGTTGAGGCAATACTTAATTTTACGCGCTTGTTGCCGCGAGTTGATGCAAACAGGTGCATCTTTAATTTTTTTTTTTTAACACTATCTGGGCTGCTTATGCGTATAAAATACAGAGAACTATTTTTAAGACACAAAAGAACATGCAGTTCAAACAGCGCTTTGAAACGATATTTCTCTCCATGGTGCTGAAACACAAACGCTGTCCATGGTGCCGGAATTAAAATCGTGATATCGCATTCGTGGATGATCTTTTCTTTCACTTTTCTTACAAATGAAATGTAATAGTTTATTCAGACTTAAACTTACTTCTTTCAGATACAGCTGCAGATAGCAGTGCTGAGGAAACTGCAGGATTCCTCACATTTCATGAACTGAATGAGTTGGTACAAATGATGCCAGGCTTTCTTCTCCTATTGACTGGAGAAGGGAAGTTACTGTACCTGTCAGACAGCGTCTCAGAGCACCTCGGACACTCAATGGTGAGTCAAGCAGACAAAAAAAGTTATTTTCATTAAATCTTTATAGGTTTCCCCTTCCCTTCATCTCAAGTTATTTTAGCCTATTCATAAGCAATATAAATGAAAGAGGAAGTTCCCCTACAGTGTATTCTTTTTTGAATATTTAGGTAGATTTGGTCGCTCAAGGGGACAGTGTGTACGACGTAATAGACAGTGCAGACCACTTTATTATGAGGAGTAACTTGGTACCTCCAACTTCACCTGACACAGGTAAGATCTTTGAAAAAATGCCACGCAGATACATAATATATATCAGATTTCTAAGTGTTCATTATTTTCGTGCCTTTCCTCCTTAGATCTTCTGTTCCGCTGCAGATTCAACACCTCCAAATCAGTGCGTAGGCAGAGTGCAGGCAATAAACTTGTTTTAATCCGTGCCCGCTGCCTGTCACAAACTCCCATCGAGTCTTCCCCAGGATCCTACTGGACTTCCAACCCAGTGTGGGTATGTTTCTGCACTCCTCTGGAGCCTCACACGTCCCGAGGTGGAACTGCCCCGGACAGAGAACCACCTTCATCTTCTGCACTAGAGAGCAGCTTCTTCCTGCCATGTTTCCGTTCTCAGCACAGCCGTGACATGAGACTTCAGGAAGCACAAAACAGGTAAGGTTAAATGCCTTAGGTGTTTTTTTTTTTTATATAAAACTGTGAAATACCAATAATTATATGCTTTAAGAAAATAAACATTTTCTTACATTTTTCCTTTTTTTCAACTTTCAGTGTGAATGTTTATTTGGGTCTAAATGTGGAGACTCTGCGGTCCCAATCTTGGTACAGCTTCCTGCATCCTCAGGATCTTTCACATGCCTCAGCTCAGCACTGCAGCCTATGTGAGTCTCACTCTTGAATGACTAAACATACAAAATTCACCCTTATTTGCTTGGTTAGGCCCAGCATGAGCACTCTTCTAGCTCACAGTTGCCTATCAACATTTGACACTTACAAAGAGCAATACAGAGTAATATGCATCTGCTGTAAAAAAGTACTTCTGACCACCCGCCAAGACATGACATAAAACCTCACAAGAAGTTGAATATGTTTTGACTTACCCATCTTTTTTCCACACACAGTGAGAGAGGGAGGAGAGGGCAGGGCTGAAATGGTGGTTCGTGTAGAGACTGCAGATCACTCATGGGTCTGGCTTTACATGGTCTTGCAGCTGGAAACTGGGGAAACCCCTATTGTCAGTAACAATTACATTATCAGGTAAGACTTGGCCTATATCTGTAAAGTCAAGACTAAAAACCAAAGCTGAAACAAGTAAGAATATCATTAATTCTGTGTCTTTTTCTCTTTGCCACAGTGAGACAGAGGCTTGGTCAGTCAGGCAGCAGCTGAGCTCTGAACAAACCCAGCTCTCCTTGGTGCTGGGCTCAAGCACTTCCCAACAAGAAAGCCTAAGCTTACAGAGTCCAGAAACACTCTCAAGCCCTGACCAAGTGTTTACACCAGGAAGTAGTGGCCTCTCCGGTCAGTCATTTGACTTCAGCACGGCAGCATGCAGTGCGGGATCTACTGAGGAACAAGGTGGCAGCTCCTCAATGGAGCCTGCACAACTGGAGAGTGGCCCACGTTCCAGTCTCTCCTCTTTGGAAGAGGAGAGCTTCTTCCAACATGAGCCCAGCGAACCTGTGGCCAGTCCTGCTTCTGCATCATCTCCCATTCCAGTCACGGTTGCAACAGTGTCTGACTTGGACTTCCTCACTCAGAATATTCTGCTGCCACCAGCATTCCAGATAGATCCTCCTCTACCAGCCTTGCCCCTTCCTCTTCCACCTGTGCCTACCTCCCAGGCCCAACAGACCAAGGAGTTTGAGTGCACACCCCCATACACACCTCAACTAGGTGGAAGCAATTTCCCCTTTGGGGAACCTCATTTTAGCTTCGATCCTACCGGGGCTACCTCACCACCTCCTCTTGCTCCAACTGCAACAGTAACCACGACGATGGCTCCATCTCTTTCTCCATCTGCGCCAACGAACCCACAAGGCAGCCCACCTCCTCCTCCGACGACAACACTTTCAACTATTTTGCCTCTCATTATAACATCTCCAACCACAGAGATCCTCTTCCCAGTGGAGCCTTGCAGTGGGTCGCTCTACGAGAAACTCCCTCCTACTCCTGACAGTCCAGGTGATGGTGACTGCACAGTTATGACTTTACCAGAAGTCCGTGGTCCGCTGTATGTTGATGTCCCCCATGGGCCGCTACCTTACCCACCAGAAGGTCTCCTCACACCTGAAGCCTCACCTGGAAAACAGCCCAATCTACCCTTCTTCTCCTCACTACGTGAAAGAGAAAAAGAGAGAATGGAGATCCCGCTTTTAGCCCAACACATCAGCACACTAGTAGAGGGCTTCTACCTAGATCCACTCCTGACCAAGCTGGTTCCTTCCACCATTTTTGAACGCTCTCAGTCTCCATCTCTTGATTCTATGGGACTTGATTCAATCCCACTGTTGGGCGAATTCTACCCACTCAAGTCTTGGAAAGGCCTGGACCTGCCCATCTTCCCTGATCATGACTCTCTGTTTGAGGAGAGTGTCTTGGAGACCCTTCTGCAGGACCTCACGTCCTCCCCTCCCCTCTCACCGACACCCTCTTCCTCCTCCCACTCCAGCCCCCCCTCCTCCCCCTCCACTCCTGAGTGCTGGTGCCCACCCTTGCACTTCGACGGGGTCTCTGCTGTGAGTGCCGGTCACTTCTGTAGCGTCCAATCGGCGCACTGTAACAATGAGGCCGGGCGAGGGGCTATGATGTTGTCAGTCAACACAGGCAACATGGCAGATGGGAAGGCGGCAGGCGAAGTTGCCATGGAGACAGAGGCAGCATCATCGCCTCTGTTCACGGGCATACCAACATCTCCACCACTGCAGCTGACTGCCTTCCCCGCCTCCCCAGTTTTGTTGCCTGTCTCCTCGCCTGTCAGCCCCGCATCGCCCGGCCTGCCCTGCGCCCAGTCCCTCCTCGAGGAGCTGGCCGCCCTGGAACCCATGTTTGGGGCAGGTGCCTCGATCGCCCCCGGCCTGGGGCAACAACCTGAGTTGTATCAACTCCAAAGTCATGCACCGCAACAGTGCTTCCGCAAAGGTGAGAAGCTGAACCTTTTTCTGATCATTTTGCTTTATTGTCATTTTTGTCAAACTGAGTAACTGTTATTGGTTTTAACATTTTGTCCCCGTTCCTTCTTTTTGTCTTTCAGATGGGAGTGGAAGTGATCCTCCGTTCTAAAATAAGTCTGTGACTTACTTCATTAAGTATGGCATATTGTCATATTTCATGGAGCTACTTTTGCTGAAAAGTGAATATTAATTAACTGTATAAATATATACATAATGTATATAATGCCAAAAAAGACTTGAACTTCCTCAAATCCACTGAGAGTAAATCGTCACGTTCACAATTGTTCATCTAATTATCCATTCATTTATGTTAATAATAGTGCAACCCTTTGGTAGCAATGCAATATACTAGTCTTAAACAAATCCTAAAAGGACTAAGAGGTCAATTTATGTCTTTCTGCTATAATGTAACATGAGCTTATATGAGTGAGAGTTACAGCTCTGACTTTGTAAGTGTAAACTGACTTACAGACTTGCATTTGTATTCACTTGTAGTGAAAAAACTCAGTTGTGAACTTTGAGGACATGAAAAAAAGCTTTCAGTAAGAAACAACAGATAGCTAATAGCTCAGTGCTTGTCATCCAGCATCACACACACAAAACCCAATGTGTGGAATGTATTCACATAATAGATCAATATTTGGTCATTTCAAAAAGTGACCAGTTTCTAAAAGTATCAATATCAGCATGTTTCCCACAGCTGATTCACTTTGCTCTCCAATCTTCCAGCTCAGAAACTAATGTCAGAAACAGTATTATAAATGACAGAATTAAGACTACATTGGGCTTTGAGTTTGTGAATGCAATTCTTGGACATATCATTCCAAATGTGTTTCAATGTGATGTACAAATGTGAACAAATTCCACTTTGTGTGCAAGACAAGTCAAGTTTTCACATTGTTCTCCTACTGGCCGGTGGACACAAGCTGCAGCGGAAGCCGCCAGGGAGAAGGACAAAATATTGTGCATGGCTTTGCATGCACGGACATTACTGGACTTATTTCTAGCTACTACTGAGTCACGGAGTAACGAATCCATTCAACCAGCTACTCCAATGGGCATGGCTAGAAGGAATTGCACTGGACTTTTGCAGCATCAATATTTGTAATGCTTGCAATCTGCTTAAACTCTTGAGTGCCTGGCACATCAAGAGGTTGCAGACCTAAGAGAAACAGCACCTTTATTCAGTGAATACCACAGTGACATCGCAACTTTGCTGTCTGCGGTGTGGAGTGGTGACAATGACTGTGTGAATGATCGATTCTTCTTTTTTGAGAGGGGTTAAACAAACAAAAAAAAGTTTTGTTTTAAAAAATGAGCGAGAAAATACAGATGGGGTTCTATTTCTATTCAGTTACTAATCGACACGGGTTGAGGATGGTTCTATTCCCATGGTGTCGACATGCTAACGTAGAGTTGTCTACGGTCAAGTAAAGGATTGATTCCTATGTTCTAGCTATTTACATGCTAAGTTTAAAAATAAAAAAGTATTTTATTGTATGTATGCTGATTTACAGGGTGCATGGTGCACATGCCTCTAGCTAGGCATGATGCGGAACGGTTAAAGATTGTAATCATTTGTACATTTGTACAAAAAACGGTCTGTACATATTGAAGACATTTCTATCGTATGAGATGAAAACATACTTGACATATGCTATTTATGAAGAATGGACATTGTGGATCAGTGTTCTTTTGTGTCGCTGATAAGTGTATTTGGTCGTCAAAACAGAGGCATTTATATTAAAGTGCACTTAAAAGTACTCATGTGTCGGTTTCTAGTTCCTCCTAATGCCTTCCCATTTGCTAACCACTGTCCTTTCCTCGCTCCCATTCCTCCATCACCCTTGTCGCTGTATCCCTTCTTTTCAGTGCATGCTCCTCACTCTTTCCCCGGAGCGCGGACTGCTCAGCAACAGCACTGACGCACGCTCGCGATGAGACGCTATCTGACTCAGACTGACGCACACACTTGACATAGAGGCACTCGCACAGACCGCCAGCTTACCGCTTTGACGCACTCACGTACTGAATGCCACACGCACGTAGCCCCCCCCCCCTTTTCTCTCAGCCCACACTCAATGTACCGGCTATTTTGACGTCGCATGACAGCGTTATCAGACTCCATATATGGGCTTTCCTGCTCAGGGGCACCAATTTTAGTTTCCTCCTCCCTTTCCTCACAGCATCCTTCCCAATAAGGAGAGAGAGAGAGGAGAGCTGTGTAGCTATGCTAATGAAGTAAACGCACAAGGGCCAGTCAGCCAATTAAAGCAACCGACGTAAATGTAATTCAAAGCCTCCTCCCAATTCTAGCTCTTTTATGTAAAGCACAATCCCGCTAACCCTTTTCTTTCTCTCCCTCTTTCCTTCTATTTTTAGACACAATGCACCTGGGGGAGCTTAAATATAATCAAGCATCATAAGTATAGTAACCATCTGCCATAAAAGAGTAGAACAGAGCTGTGTGTCAGCATGTGAACATTTTGTTTCAGCCTCTTTTAGCTCCCCCGTTGCAGCTTATTGAGCCTAAACAGCATCACAGAAACCCAGATTGGCTCTCTTACACCATCTGGTGTCAAATAGAATGCATCTCTGTAGTAATCCTAAAAATACAGCATCCTAAAATTAGGATAACAGCATTTGTTAACCATAAACTAGAACAATTGGGAAAATTACACCCCATAAACCATATATTTTATTTCACAAATCTATGCTTACGATGTACAGAAAGATCACTGAACACAGTTTTTCTTCTGTTTTTTTTTTCTATCTGCGTATTTCAGAAAATTACTATTTTTAGTTGTATAGTAAAATAAAAACTACAGTAAAACAGTAAAATAAAAACTACAAAATTGAACAGTCACTAGATAGACAGAGAGACAGACAGACGGATAGACAGATAGATAGACAAATAGATAGATAGATAGATAGATAGATAAAGTTGTTATAACACGTGGTCCCACTTCATATAAAGTGGCCTGAACTACTATGTACTTACATAAAAAAATAAGTAATGTACTTGTTGTGTTCATATTGTATCGCAAAACACTTCTGCTGCTAATGAGGTGGGATACGGGTAAGGTTTAAGGGTGGGTTAAGGTGTAAGGGATGGGTCAACGGTGTAATTATAAATGTAATTACAGAAATTAATTACAGATGTAATTATGATGCAGGTATTTTTTTACAAGTACAATGTAAAAACTTGCATGTATACAATAAGTGCATTGTATCAAATGATTAATTTAAATGTAAGTACATAGTAGTTAAGGCCACTTCATATAAAATAGGACCTAACACGTTACCTAGAAAATATAACTTGTTCATATTGGACTGGCTGAGTGTCTGAGTGGATGGTCCCTGGGTCCGTAGCACTCCTGTAAAAAATGAGAGAAAGTATTCAGGAATCAAACAAGAATCAAACAATGTTTTTGTATATGGGCCATTCTACAGAACTGGTCCAAAGTCAGAGTTGGAAATGTGCCGTTTATTCTCATATTGTATTTTCAGAAAGTTTTGGAATATTTGTCCTCTCCCTAAATTTGTCACTACCGGAACACAGTAATAATAATTTAATTAGAAGGGTTATATTAACCTATTAAGATTTTGCTTACATCTACATTGTAAATATATTCTTTTTGCTATTTTATTGAAGTTTTTTCAGAGGTAAATCAATAACAATTACATTTTTAACAATATTTCAAGTATAATTTATGAGATTTGTTGTATTTTGAATCCAATTTTTCTTTGTAAAAGGCAAAAAGGTGATAATATTGATTTCAAAGTTAAGGATTCATTAGTTTGAATATACACTGAACCAAAAATATTATAACATCTTAGTTGATAATTCAGTAAACTTTATTTTTGACAAAACATCCCACTTTTCGGTAGTGGCACATTTTCGGTAGTGACAGTAATGCTTTGGTAGCGACCACATCACATTACAGAATTTGAAGTCACGTACTAAAACACTACTAAAACAAATACAAAAAAAAAATGTATAACTGTACAAAAATGGTTTATTTCCCCCAAATATGAGGATTATGTGTTCCATTTAGTCACTACCGAAACAATGATGACATGTTTCGGTCGTGACAATTTCTCCACCAAATGTTTCGGTAGCGACAATTTTAGATACTTTTGAACGTAGCTCAAAGATGCTAATCAGCATATGGTTAGCTAGCACAGTATTGAACAGTGGTAAACATATAAAAACTAAATGTTATGGAATAACTCCCAAAAAAAGTGTGCATAATTGCAGAAAAAAGGTGTTCGGTAGTGACGTTCCTTAAAGTTACACACAGATATTTCAGATTTTTGAACACATTTACCTCAAAATGATGGGGCCTATCTACTCACACCTTGTAGCTATGAGAGAGGGGGACACAGGAATATTTCCTGATCATAAATTTAGGGGTGTAGTTAAAATCATTCTCGGCCAATGGACTAACACATACACTGTTTCGTTAGTGACGTGAAAAATGCAGGACACATTTTTTTACATAAATTTTCATAATTTACAAAGAAAATATAAAATAAATATTTTTTGAACTTCACTTTTTAAAAGAATCAAAAAGATACTTTTGAAATCAACAATGGAAAAAAATATAAAAATGATTTAATCATTTTCATAAGTTGAAATTTAGGGGTTAGGGTTCGGCACAGCTACCTCCCAATTGAAAGTACCCAATAAATGATGATTTTATATGCTTACTAATATTTTAAATATTATTGTGGGTTTCAGTAGATAATATAATTATCTTAGTAAACATCTAAGATTTGAATACTAAAATGCTTTTTAAATGTGTTTTTTGGTTGTGGGACAGCAGTTTGCAGTACTGTAGAATGGCCCATATAGCAAACAGAGAAGATTTTAGTAGGGGTACATACAATGAAACTAAAATGCCCCCTTGTGGAAATATACAATACACACACATTAGAAAGTGGAAGTGGAACTTAATTTATACCGAACAGACAGATTAGTAGTTGACCTAATATTTTCTCAGAACTAGACCACTCTAAACGCATAGAAGAGTGACTTCCTTTCATATGTCTTTTTTCAATTGTGACATGACATGTAACATGAATTACAGCACACCAGTTGTGGGGTGGCATGATTTTCATTTAGGCTATCACACAGCTATGTGATGATGATGATGACACTCTGTTTTGTCTCTTTAAAAGCAAAAGAACTGATTGCATTCATTATTCAGAAAGACTATTGAAGTTAGTAGAGGCGGCTGACAAAGGTTAGTTCACATTAAAGTAAAGCCACTCACTGGGGCTTGAAAACGATCAGTCAGAAGCCAAGATCAGAGGAGAAGCGTCTGAGAAATTTGTCTCAGATTTTAGACAAAAGCACCTAGTTACGCCTGTTTGAAAATTATATGCACACAGGGACACAGATCTAGCTGGATTCTCAGGCTAAAGGCTCACATTTAGCTCACAGTAATATGCAAAGCACACTCCATCCAGGATGTAGAGGGAGTTACACTCACCAATGGATGATTATCTGTGTCTGTTAGCATCCTGCAACAGTCTTTAAAGATGCAGTGCCACCATGTGGACATTCAAGGAGCCTTCTGTGAATTTAATAGCAATTTTATGAAAAGTCCAAAGAATTAAATGTAGCCTTTACAATAAAATAGGGGCTCAGATTTAGTCATTAAGAAAGCAGGTTTACAATAAGATTCCAGGTTCCAGGTTTATTAAAATCAATTAACTACAGTTATTTTTAAATTAACAGTGAAAAATACTTCTAAAGCATTTATTAATTTCAGTTTGTTCATTTCAACATGTAACCTATAATACATTTTGAAATAAAAAAAAAAGCTGACAAAGAATAATAAATAGGCTACTGTAACAAATGTATGGCTCATTGTTAGTTAATAAATTAACTAACGTTAACTAATGGGACCTCATTGTAAAGTGAAAGTATTATTCATTTAGGGGTGTAGTTAAAATCATTCTCGGCCAATGGACTAACACATACACTGTTTCGTTAGTGACGTGAAAAATGCAGGACACATTTTTTTACATAAATTTTCATAATTTACAAAGAAAATATAAAATAAATATTTTTTGAACTTCACTTTTTAAAAGAATCAAAAAGATACTTTTGAAATCAACAATGGAAAAAAATATAAAAATGATTTAATCATTTTCATAAGTTGAAATTTAGGGGTTAGGGTTCGGCACAGCTACCTCCCAATTGAAAGTACCCAATAAATGATGATTTTATATGCTTACTAATATTTTAAATATTATTGTGGGTTTCAGTAGATAATATAATTATCTTAGTAAACATCTAAGATTTGAATACTAAAATGCTTTTTAAATGTGTTTTTTGGTTGTGGGACAGCAGTTTGCAGTACTGTAGAATGGCCCATATAGCAAACAGAGAAGATTTTAGTAGGGGTACATACAATGAAACTAAAATGCCCCCTTGTGGAAATATACAATACACACACATTAGAAAGTGGAAGTGGAACTTAATTTATACCGAACAGACAGATTAGTAGTTGACCTAATATTTTCTCAGAACTAGACCACTCTAAACGCATAGAAGAGTGACTGTCTTGTCTTGTACTTGTAAAGTGAAAGTATTATTAATTCTCCAGTGAGAAACCCAGTGGAAACAAAGCCAAAATGAAAAACAATATGGAAATACCGGAATGAATAACGTTTCCATGTAAAGATTCATATTCATGCTGAGAAAGTGGACTTATAAAAAATGCTGAGAGAAATGCAATAGGTAGGCTACAGTACACAAAAGGTATAATAGGTATCAGAATAAATTCAGATGAGGAGACTTAATCAAACTGCTAATTAAAAGTAAAGGAGCAGTCGGGATTTTTAAAAATATTTTTTTATGAAGCATGCTGAATTAGCAATATAAACCTCTTGACCCGTTTGTTGGTGTTTTTAGAGTTTTTCCCCAAAAACGAAAATAATTTTTTTTTCAACAATTCTTCTCCCCCGAGTTATGTCTTAAAAAAAAGACTTTATTCAACAATTCTTCTCCCCCGAGTTACCGTCTTCCGCCATTTTAGAGAGTATCACAATGCATACGCACGCTTTCCCCTAAGCGTAAACAACGCTGCTAACACAGATTATGTTCATGCCCGCGCTTTCTCCCCCGAACGTAAACAACGCTGATTACGTTGATCACGCTCTTGGGTACTCGCCAAAATGGCGGAAGACGTAACTCGGGGGAGAAGAATTGTTAACTGGCCAGAGAGCTCTCGGATTTCATCAAAACTATCTTAATCTGTGATCCGAAGATGAACGAAGGTCTTACAGGTTTGGAACAACATGAGGGTGAGTAGGCTAATTAATGACGGAATTTTCATTTTGGGGTGAACTAACCCTTTAACTCGAGAGGTAGAGTTACTCTCACAGGACACTGCACTTATTTGCAATCATAAATGTACATTATTTGCATGTGCTTTTAAATGTTTCATTCATTAAAAAGCCTGTCAAACAGCGCCTGATTACTGAACTAAGTTATCTTTTGCGCTAATACTGTCAAAACACACAAGGTTTACATATAGACTCAGTTGGATATGTCTAAAATGAAAGTAAACAGTTGAGAGAAAAACGGATACGTATTAGATGCGTGCAGGTCTTACAGGGGAGTCCAGCCCGGGGTCGCCACATGTGGTTGCCGCAAGCCCGCCAGATTTTTACATCAAATTTTAAATTTGATGTAAAAATTTGATGTAAAAATCTAATTTTAAAGATTTTTACATCAAAAATAATAATTTAGAATAGGCTATTTTTGTCCAGTTTTTAACCCCCCTCATGGGAATGCTCCGTTTGAATAGGCGTGGCAGATTGTAGACTAGGAAGTAAAGGCACACTGCTATGACTGGCTAACAGTTTTTTTCTATTTTCTGTCCAGTTTTTAACCCCCCTCATCAGAACGCTCTGTTTGAGTAGCTGTGGAGGATTGTAGACTCAGAAGTAAACGCCCACTGCTGTGATTGGCTAATAGTTGTGTATGATTGACAGCCTACATTCCTCACAGATGGACGCTGTTGTGATTTAGGTTAAAACGCATAAATACTCATTACATAGCAAACTATCTGTAACAGACGAAGCAACAGTGACTACGTAATAAAACCAGTTTACGTTACTCACACTTGTGTGGTATGACATCGGATCCAATATAGTCAGCAAAGCATCGTCTTTTAGTTTCAATCTTTCTGAAAATCCCAGGTCAAATTGTGCACTGTTTGTAAACGAATCCGCCGTAAAATGAAGGGAACAGAGGACCGAGTTCTTACTGACTCGGTCTGGAACTTCATTAAAAATAAGTTCATCCACTCTGTCCTAACATTGGAATCAGAAGGAAGGCGACGCAAACACTGTTTTTCCACAACTTGGCACTGCACAGCGTCTTGTCTTCAGAGCCATCTTTATCGTTTGGTTTCTTATTCGCCCCTCTCGTTATTTACACTATATGCATGAATTGGTGGGTGGGGCTAAACAGGCAGTGATGTAGAAGCAGGTGTTGATCTTCTTCTTTGAGGCAGTGTTTAGTCACAGTCACATCATAGATTTGTACATTCCACAACCTGTCCTTTTGGCAGACTGGCTTCAATATAAGCTGTTTTTAGACTAACGAGTTCTGAAACTTAAAGTATGTTTTTATAGTACAGTGACCTCTTATATGTGAAAATATCAAGGGAATTTTGGTTTCTCAGTTCAAACAGTTTTGTAGAGTTTTTGTCTACTGGAAATTTCTTCAGAAATATGTTTTGTCAGCTGAATAATTGGCATGTTGTTAAGGGGTTAAACTACAGTACGAATCCACTAAACACACTGTACCTCTCACAGCCTAATTTCATTCCTATCAAAAATTAAACATGGCGCTACCCTGACTAAAATCTGTGCTATATTTTTGCAAGTAACTAGTGTATACTTTCTGCAATATTCAGGAGGTAGTGTAGTGTGGGGTTCACTACAGGTGTATAATAATGAAGAGGGGTTGAATTACATAACACCAAATCTCATTTGTATAGCAAAAACGCACTGCGGATCTTACATGACCACATGACCGTGTCTGGAAAAGACTCTTGCCTCTAAATCCCTACAGGGCTTATGTGAGATTCTGCACTTTGACAAGCTTCATCTAATGCATAAGATACAGATTCTGATGCCTTTTGCCCTTTACAAACACCAAATATAACAGCCATCACTCGATATGAGCCTCAAAGCGGGGGGAAAAACAAGAGGCCATATGAGAAATCACATCCTCTTTATGTTATCATCTCTCGTCCTTCTCTGTTCTTGTGAAATTGCGGTCAGCAACATGGAGAACACTCCGTCACTGAAGCCTGGATAGAGTGCAGTCACCGCAATCATGCACTTGACTTTAAGGAAAGTGATTTGACAGTGCTTGTGAAGTCACTGGGTCAGATGGGCTACTCACAGACTAAATTACATCCATTACACATTTTCCCTTTGCCTACACAGCCTGACACTTCCAAGGTTTCTTTCCCAAGCTGTATCTCAATAGTCAAGTCTATATCCCAACAGACAGTCATGATGTTTATTTGTAATATCTAAAGGAATAGTTAATTATAATTATAATTTTTTTGCTGTACATTTTACTCACCCTCAGGCCATCTAAGATGTAGATGAGTTTGTTTCTTCATCTGAACAGATCTGGAGAAATTTAGCATCACTTCACAAATGGTTCCTCTGCAGTTGAATGGGTGCCGTCAGAATGAGTCTAAACAGCTGATCAAAATCACAATAATCCACATGACTCCAGTCCATCAATATATGTCTCGTGCAGCAAAAAGCTGTTTGTAAGAAACAAATCCATCAAGACATTTTTAACTGTTGCTTCTGACTAAAATACAAATCCTCTAGCCATAATATTTATTTCTTTAGGGAATAGGTTGTCTCATCTGAATCAGGAGAGAAATATGGAAGCTCAAGCACCGTTTACAAGTGAAAACAGTCCAAAAAAGTTTGTACAAATACGTTGGTGGATTTTGATGTGAGATGACAACAGAGGACAAACTTTTTCACTGATGGAAGCATTATTATGGATTATGAACTCCTATGTTGACCAGATGCAATGGTTAACACGCCTTAATGATGGATTTGTTTCTTACAAACAAGCAGCTTTCCGCTTAACAAGATATGGATTACTTGTAGATTATTGTGATGCTTTTATCAGCTGTTTGGATTCTCCTTCTGACGGCACCCATTCACTGCAGAGGATCCATTGGTGAGCAAGTGATGCAATTCTAAATTTCTCCAAATCTGTTCTGATGAAGAAACAAACTACTACATCCTGGATGACCTGAGAGTGAGTACATTTTCAGCAGATTTTCATTTTTTGTGCCATTCCTTTAATATCTTTATACCTTTTGGTTGCATTTAGCAGATAACAGCTGGGCAATAATATAGTTTACATTTTGCAACAATATAAGGAATCAAGCGGTTAATATATGCTACATAACATATCACTTTATGTGAGTAGAGTGTATATATGCAGGTAAAGGTTGTACTATAGGCTAAAGCTGTTAATGTATGCGAATAGAGTGCTGCAGCCATGATGTCAAAATCCAGAAGACTAATTCGTCTTGGGTTCCCATGAGATTTTTCCTATGG